TCGCGTAGGAACGTTCGGACGTTTATCTTCGGTATCGATCGGGACAATACCGATCATATTACGATTAATTATAGTAATTCGTACCTCTCGTGATGTTTAAAACGAATTTCGAATTTTTCGCGTCTGCTCGGTGTTACATTTTTCTCAGATAAACTGCATATTCTGTCGCGGGGTTATTTATTTCGCGCAAATACATGGCGAATTGATGGAACGATACAAAGGTGCATGCAGTTCATGGAAACGAATAACAAAAAGTTTGTAACAAAATTTATAAGAGTTGATAATAAACGAAGGAGGTAAATAAATAAGGAAATCAATTTTTGAAATGCACGAAGGACCGATTTATATTATTTAGTATATTTATTATATTATATTTACATAAAATTATTTATCCGGTGCATATATGTGATGCATAGTTAATTGAACAAATGACACAAAGCTGGGCAACATTTATGAAAATAATTGGAAAAAGAAATGGTTAAAATGGGATTTATAAGAGTCAGTTAAAAGCGAGGGAAATAATAAATAAGAAAATATATTTTTCGAATGCCATTTCGAAATTTGATCAAGAATGATTTATTTCATGCAAATATGCAGTTGGTCGATCAAGTGTAAAAAATTGACAGAAATAAATCATGGAAAGCTTTGTAGAATATCATTTATAAAAGCCAATCAAAAAATGAAGGAAATCAAATTTTCAAGCATTCGAATGTCCGATTTATTTTGAAATCCTATCGGAAGTTATTTACCACGTGCAAATATATATGTTAATGAAATGACATAAAGGCATAATATTTAATGCAGTTCTTTCAAGCGTATAACATTTGCGAATATAAATGAGAGCAATTATGAAATAAAATGCACAAAATTTAATAACAAATTCCGAATTTGGATCCACTACGTGTCGAAATTGAAGGATCATATGTACGTTTTTGAATTTCCTGAATAATTCAATTTCCTATTTTTTTCCCTAATTTCCTAAATAAAAAAAAAAAAAAATCATTTCCAGCCCAAAATTTGTGATTCCTTTATTTCAACGAGTGCAAATAAATGAATCAATTTTTCCTATGCTCGAAAGGAAAATTTGTATAATTTTATTTTATTATTTTTATCATTTTACCAGACAAAATTGGACAAAAGTTTCCGAAATTCTTCAAATTCTGTACGCATTGAAACGTGTAGAATATAATTATGGCCTCGCGATCAAAGTAAATTATAATTACGAGATTCCTCATGAATAACTCGCGACATGTTGGACTCATCATTGTGGTGCAAATGATTGAACGCTCCCACATTCTGACGACAGATTTAATGAACAGGATGAATTCCAATAGCGGGGGTAGACTTTTGAATATTGAGAGGTCCCCGAAGGGCCTCGGACTGGTTGAACCGAGTATGGTTTATCGGTAAATGAAATTTTCAGGTTCGGTATTACGTTCGCGTATCCTCGGGGGATGCACCTGAATCTTTAATGACCACAAAGCGTTCATTATTAAGGGACTAATTCTACATAGCGCATCGTCCCGTAGCCAGACCCCGTTATATTTAGAATTTATACGAGAGTATAAGTACCATGAGCCTCTCTCCTTTACCTGCTCGCCTACTATCAGGTGGTTCGTTGTTCTCGGTGGTAATTAGATGACATCAAAACTGGAGGAAAATCCGATTCCTTTCTTTGGGTTTAAACGAGGATATTTATAACCGCCCCTTTGGTGAATTATGTCATTTCTTTCCTTGGTTTCTCTCTTTTCGTTTTAATCGAAAGCGATATTTATAATTTTCAACAAACGGGATGGTAATGGAAAACGAGGCAAGAGGGAGATAATTGTTATTGCGATTGGTATTAGTGACCGAATGATTTGCAAGATTTTATTTTTTTTCATCGGAAGTTACAATTACAGTAATTAATGTTGAAACGAGAGAGCTTATAGCAGACGAGACGATGATGGGGGTGGTAGAGTAATTGAGATAACTGGTATTTTTATAATTGGTGATGTATAGGATTATTAGGGGATTAAGGAATTTAATTAATTTAATTTCGTTTAATTTTAATAATTTTTTTCTTTTTTGTATAAATTTAATTAGTTATACAATTGTACGTATTACTGTAAACGAGAGAGCTTGGAGCGAATGAGATGGTGATGGGTGACAGAGTAATTGAGATAACTGTTATTTTTATAATTTTATAAAGAATTCAATTAATTTAATTTCTTTTAATTTTCATCATTTTTTCCTCTTTTGTATAAGTATAATTAGTAATATGATTGTATACATTACTTCAAATATGTTAGTATAATTTATTATTTCGTTGTGTGTATATTACTAGAAACTCGAATATCTGAATGACTGCTTTGTAATGATTTGTATCTATTAATGTACAATAGAATCTACTTAGGTCCAGAGATCTTTCATATTCTCAGAGTCATGATTCATAAGTCGTAAATTCATAACGAATAGATTATAGTGGATAAACCTGGCGTGTGCGATAGTGATCACTGAATTAATAATTTCTTCTTCGATTAAGAACGGGAATGCTCAGAAAATAAGCATATTAACGAGAAACGTATTTACAAACGATTAATAGGATTTAAGTAAATAATTAAATTCGTAAATATTTTAACGATCGAAGCAGCACGAAGATTAATAAAATTCAGTCTCTAATATTTATTGAGAAATAACAAAGACATTCGTAATAGTTCTTCAATTTTGTAAAATTATTGTTTATGTTGTATATATCGTTATACTTACTAATAATGCAATACGGAAGTTATTAACGAAGTAAATGTGAGGTTATATTGACTCATACTGTCAGAAGGTTGGTAATCATAATTAATTTCGAAGATGGAGGCCAGGTGATTCATTCGACATTCATTAAATTCTTAATTCAGCGAACAGGCTAAAATATATCATATTTTAACACGAAATAAGATATATTTTCCCTCCTGTAGATTGCTTTGATTTATTTTTATATTAGGAATAATTTCTTTTATCATCTTTATTTAAAAGGTTCGATAATTATGCTAATAGAAATAAATTATATTACAAGTACGTATGAACTTCAACGCGATCGATTTGAAAATCGTTTGTTTCCCGCGTGTACTATTCTTCTACGATGTTGCCTACACTGGCAATCGCAGCTTTGAAACAATCATGGCGTCCGCGTCGATCGGTACGACGATCGGTTGTTCGAGGTTACGTAGGTTTAACCGGCTGTTACTGCGAGTATATCGAAACATCGAGTGTAAAAGTGCATAAAATTGTATCCCATTTGTGAATTCGTGAATTCTAACCTAGATACCTTTTCAATCTTCCTACGAGAATAAAACGTGCCGAAGTTCGTAACGAAACAAAGCGGAAAGTATATCCTTTGGCACGACAAAGAGATACAATTTCGAGGATACGAGCGAAAATCAGTAAAACATGGCCGAACGAGTAATTTCCGTTTCCGACGTACAAAACGTAACGCGAAACCTTTCAGATCTTTCGATTTTTTACGTTCGAAGTATTCGATACGCAACAGATAGTCATCTATAGGTGGCATAGCACGGAAAGACTACGTCATTTCGCGTTCCCTCTTTCTCTGTCCCGTGTTTGACCCAGATATCCGGCAATTTCCGCCGAACTAATTATGCAGACAGCAGCCGCACGAGCGGCTTTGCGAACGCGGCCTAAAATTTTTATATAATCGTCCAAAGGGAACGTGGAACCTGGGGTGACATTTGTCGTTAAAGTTGTACGCCGTGGCGCACATTATGCTCGAACTGTATCTCTGAAATTTAAAGTGTCCTTACATTTTTCACTACGCAGCCACGTTCTTGCGATATCCTTCACGGTATCAACTAGTTCTTTCGCCGCCGTCTCGTCGAAGAGTGCAACAAAGAGTTAATCATGAAACTAGATCTTTCGTTGGTTGCTTGATACCTAGTTCAACGTGAAACATGCATATGGCTACAGCGTAGGACGTTGTGTTGAAGATAAACAATGGTTGAGATAATGGGTAGGTAGCAAAGATTTAACACTTGTGTTGTTTAGGATAGTTGTCGTAGTGAAGTTATGGGAATGTTTAAATTGTGCCTCATCATGGTAATGTGTGGATTCATTTGTAAATGTGTTATAATAATTTATAGGTTAAGTACAAGTGCTAATGTAAATGAAATTAGTACAGGCATAGAATATATGTATGTCATATAGTGTTTGATTTTGAGAAATTAATGTTAGTTTTTACGATATGGCGTTTCTGTTTTGATGTACGAATATCTTCGTATTGCTGATATTTTAATAAAAATTTTTTTTTATTCTTGTTTCTGGAGGAATGAAAATACACCAGGAACGTTGAATGGAATAAATAACATTATATAAGTATGAGGAAGGTATGTGATGGATTCAAACAAATTTTATATACGTTTGATATTTATAAGCAAACGTAGGGAATTCGATATTGAATTGCTTGTTTCAGTAATATTTTTCGAAACGCAGAGGTTATGTTTTGTCTACGTAACACGGTTTAATTTGTATCAGCATGATTTACTCTACGAAATATTCTTTTCTATTGATAGATCAACTTTTACAGTGAAACAATAAAACGAAATTATCTAGTTTTGCACAAAAGCAGTACTAATCGCTATCAAGCTTGGCGCGAGTCGTCGTTGTTGTATGATCAGCATGAAAACATCGATAAAACCCGCTTACTTCAGTGTCGTCTAACCGTTGTGATTCGTGAATCGATGTGTTATGACAGGTCAACTGTGCAGTTTGTTACGTTAATTCTTCACGGAACGATCAACGCTTTGTCCCAAATACGATGCAATCACGTGCCTCAATATACAGGGATTTAAATTCGAGAAGGCTTCGAAGAGAGTCGTTACTATTCTCCGCCAAGCTCTCGAACGTGGATTGTTCGTGTCGTAATGGAATTTCTGTAGAGGAATTAACGTCAACTGCAACAGCACACCGGCGATATCGAAGTGTCAGTCCGTAATCGAGTGTCTTGCCCGTTTCAGAGGGAGAGAAGAGGGTGGAACGAGTGGCGGTCACCGTGAACCCCGATCAACTCCCGATTGGGGTCCTGGTGCACTTAATGGAGAACATCTTTGGGTACCGACGTCAGCTTCAGGTGACTTCTGCTACGTCAACGATTGCGCGGTAAGTGTTAACAGTTACTCGCGAGCGTTTAGGTGGGGGTAAAAGGTAACAAGTGACAAAGGGAATGGAGGTTAGGTTCTGTTCTAGGCTAGATTTGCAGGTTAAGATTACCATTAAGATGGCGTTGCCTGTTCTGTTATCTTTATATCGTTTATATCATTTATGAAAGATAAAATGGAGGTATAATTGTTTCTTCATTGAGACAATATGGAGTTAATAAAAATTCGTAATGGTGAAATTTATAATTGCGGTGATAATTTGTTTACAACCGACAAAGTGAACGAAAAAATGATAAAAAATTGTAAATTGATTTTTTATTGCTGTTAGATTCAACAAATTTGTTATATATATATAGTGAGTCGCTCAATTTGTAAATAAATTATCCCGCAAACATACAAATTAAATTCGAATTTCTAACAATTCGATCAGTATATTATATTTCCCGCTCTATATCGTTTTTACTGAACTGTGGCGTGAGTCGTTCTTAATTTTAAACGTTGATACATATCGTAACGCTGCACGCAGTGCAGCAGTTGCAATTTTTCTTCTAATATAATACAATATAAAGCCAGCTATTAATATAAGTAACGTCGATCGGACTATCCGAAGAATTCAAATGCAGTCGTTTGCATCGCCAATTATTTTGACAAATAACAATTACGTAATATCAACGAAGTATCACATTCATTAGGGAAACACGTTGAGAATATACGCCAGTCGATATCGGCTGCAATTTATCTCAATTTGTCATTCTAATTTGTAAGATTGGCTCGGCCGGAAGTCAAGTCGATGTTGGAGTATCGCGACGAAAACTAATTATCGTTATGTCACGACTATTCGCGACATGAATTTACATAATTTTCATTTACATGATATCTTCCATTCGTGAGTTATTACGAGCGACATTAAAAGGAAAAAACGAACTTATGCAACGAGAATAAGGGTCGATTTTGTCGCACACCTTTTGTTCCATTTTAAGACGGAATAAATGATTTGCATATCTGAAGGAAAACTTTATTATATAAAGCATCTAGTTAGTAGAAGTTGACACTTCTTTTTCTGCGGTTTATTAATAACTGCATATTACATAGTACATTATACAGCAACCGTTTACAAATTTATTCATATACAGGAATAGTTACCATAATATAGTACAGGACTCGGTATGATAAGGTTACAAAAAAAGAGAAGAAAATATTCAATGCAATGTATAGTATTTTTAATCGTTTAAAATAATCATAGTAATTTTAGTCAGTTAGCTAAATCTCTTTAAATTACGCGGTCAAAAAATTAATAAATTTATAACCAAGTTTAAAATAATACTAAATATAATGTAGGATATAACATAAAATATAAAATATTCTCAATAAATAAATTATTATATTTAATATATTAGTATTTTAACCAACCTTTTCAAATTAACAAAGTTAAACTTTGCCCGTGATAAAATTAAATAATGATATACTTTAACCACATCTACCATGACACGTGAGAGGTTATGTTTAAAGTTAGATTTAGATTAGGTAAAATTGGAACTTGTGTAATTCTAACAATAAGTATGACGTGACCAGTTGTTCGCCAAGTTAATTCTAGGATTTTCTTCCTTAAGAGCGTGTCCTGTAAAATAATTAGAAATAATTAGAAAGAATTAGAAATAATCTTCGGTATTAAAATAGAATTGCTTCACCTACACAGAGAGAAGGAGAAAGAAAGTCTCATTAACAGTGACTCATTTGACTCTTCCTTTGCAGCACAATTAAAAATCTTTAACGGTATACCATTTAGTCACCTTTGATTCTTCTTCATCAGTTTACTTCTCAGATGCAATTTTATGCAATGCATTTGAAACGTTGAAGTTGTGTTCTTACAATAATAAAGATTCATAAATGTTAGCAAATAGGGAACAGATGCATTTCAACTTTCATGATAAATTGTTTTCGTTATGAGCAAACAATATTCATGAATTTCAGTTATTGCAGTCTGCTAGGCAAAAGCAGGGCATGCAAGGGTTTTTAGTCCATAACTTTTTTAAAAAAGCATTCACAAAGTGTCTGTTGAAACTTTTTTCCCGAGAGCAGAATTGTTCTTTCTCTCGAGGATGTTTCGGGAAAGTTTCCTACGAATCATTTTATTTCGTTCTGTTCAGAGTATTTTCGATGACTCCCAGTCCTCTTTCCATAAGACGATACGTGTATGTACGTATATGAAAAATACTTTTCCTAAAGAAAGAAAGAAAATTAATAAATCCTGCATAAAAATATTAAAAATTGAAAAATAGAACATATAGAAAATTTCGTACGTACAATTACACGTTGTTTTATATTAGACGTATTATTACAGGAGAAATGAGTTCGTCGGAAAATCAGATTAAAAAGAGTATACCCAGAAAATGTAACACGTAGCTATAATCTTGCGTCTTTGGCGTACGCCAACTGCGTCTCCTTTTTCCTCTTTCAGCTCGTCGTCCGAATCACCAGACCATAGTTTATTGTTTTTATGCCGTTCGAAACGTATACCGAGATTGTCCTTGTGTCAGAGGACGTTTGGTGTCAAAATGATCACGCCACGCATAGCGCTGTAACGGTCGCGTTCCTAACCTCACATACCAGCTGTTTTTGTATCGCTACCCACTCGACGCCGAGAAATATTTTCTCGGAAATAAATTGAACTGTTCGAAACTTTGTTGCACGAATTATAATTCAGATCAAATACTCTCCCCGCGTGTTCATATTTCAATTGTAAAAGGATCAGAAAGCGAGTAGAAAATATTTAAATTCGAACAAGGTAAATGTATCGCGAGAGATATTGCGAGGGCAAACGCGCGGACGGAAAAGCGTGGTACATTTCCGTTAAATTAACGATGCTCTGAATAGTCAGAAACTTTTCAGGAGCGAGAGGAGAATCGTTTCTGCGGCGCACAATGGTGGCTGTAACGAAATACAGAGGTCCTGCCGGGTAACGATGCTCCAGCAGCACACGTATACATGGCCACGTTATATACATTCGCGTTGCGTTAATTGAAACACTTTGGAACGCGTTCAGAAATCTGTCATCGTTAACAATGTCGTTTTGTTCACGGAAAATCTTTATTGCCTTTTCTGACCGGTGAACATACTCGGACACATATGATATTTCTCTGACGAAGAGTGTTCAGTGTTTTGTTGTAGGTATTCGGAGGTGATATTTGAGGTGATAGCCTGTTTTCGCGAACTTTGACGTTTACGATGTCAAAGAATTATTTGCAATAATCTCTGGCAATTACTAAAACTAATTTTTAGGATTTAATTTCTGAATGGGATTGTTGGTTCGAATATTGATTAGTTTAGTTACCTTGCGCGGGAATTTTAAATCGTGTTTCTTTGATGCTGGTAGAAAGATGATTGCACAATCGTTCTAATTGATTTCTAAAATTTACCATATATGCCATGGAAAATCTAACGCAAGTTTTTTCATTTTTTATTTATTGGATTTTAAATTATTCCTTGGTGATCCTATGCTCTATAAATATCAGGTGATTTCTGATTTAAAAACTGATATTTATGTTATTATCAATTTATTGAGCTGTTCTTCAATGTGTTCGAATATATTACCTTATTATCGAATACCCTAAATATTCCCTAGTTTCTAAATAAAACTATAATAATTTTTTTATCAATTTGAAACAAAAAGCTGTCATAAATAAATAATAAATTTTATAAAGAGGCAAGAATTTTTATCGATAAAACTCTAACTAGGGAACCTAGACACACGAGACGAATCATAAGAACTTTTTCTATTATCCCTTGCAAGTTCGACCAATCCATCAAGGTGTTTCAGCTTTTTACACGTTGTTTGATTTAATTTTAATGGTTCCGGGGCAACCATAAATTTCATCCGGTGCAACGAATATTGGCGTAGAAACACGGCCAGCTAAAGATCTATTTAGCTGTTCGTGATTTATGTTCCTTTCACGTGGAACTCGGTCGCCAAGATGCTTTAACTGGGGACTCATCCGAATCGAACGACGTGTCGGTGAAACAGGAAATTAACTGGTGGTTGCACGCAGTTGCGATGCGGAAAAATAGACTAGTCTTCTAACTGTGTCTTTGAGTTTATATTTTTCTGATCATTTACAGAAATATAAATTTAGATTATATATCGATAATTAATGAATATTAAATTTATTATAATTATAATAAAATAATAATATAATAATAATAAATTATTGTTATTAATTCTTATTATAAAATATTGAATATCACATTTATGTAAATTTATTATTAAATATGTAATTAATAATAGATATTAAATTATTATTATACATAAATTGAGGTGACATATTGATTGTCAGGCGAACACAAAATTGCTGAGAATTTCTGCCGAATATTGTCATGTATTAATTTATCGAAAAAGCTGTCCGATTTTTGTTTAGACTTTTTAACAGTGGAATACAACGTCATTTTTATAGATTTTCCGCACTATAGGTATGATCGAATGGTATCTCCATTTAATTTTCTTGCATTTTGTGTGGTATTAATAGTTTCATTCTTATATTACTCTTCGTAAAATTACCAAAAAATTGAAAGATTATAAACCATCAGTATAAATAATTATCTAAAATCTAAAAATATCGTTAATTAACTACATTCGTCGTTATGTGGAGTTTAATATAAGGTACAGCGCTTTTTCTCCCAATTAAGAATCCTTTTACGCGATTTCCATCTAAATTACGAAATTCTACAAATGCATTTCGTTACTCTCCCGAGGTTCATGATAAATAATCCACTCTCAATCTCTGCAAATCCGTACAAGCTGACACGATAAATAACGATGAAATAACAACTGGCAAATAAGAAAATAAAACTCGTCGGACAGCATACACGAGCACATGTTCGCGAGACACACGATATTACGAACGATTAAAACGAAGCGAACCCGGTCAAAAAACATGTGGTCGCGTGTGGCAGGGGAAACGATCTATCATACACAGGTCCATTTATACAGATACACTGGCTCTGTCA